TTCCAAAACGAGCATTATGGCAGGGATCGTACTAGTAGGCCAGCAAAGACCCGGATTCATCCATCAGGGGTTTAATACCCGAACATGCTCAAGGATCTAACCTGAACCCTAAAATCGTAAACCACTAAGGTTCTGGTTCAGGAATTTGCCGTTTCCATGCGGCTCTACGGCCTCGCAGCTTAGGCACAGAAGCCAAAGCATGGAATGCTTTTGGGTCTAGGGTTTGAGGTTTCGGCTTAGCGTTTAGGGTTTAGGGTACTGAGGGTTTCGACATTAGGGGCTTGGTGCTTGGGTTTCGGGTTGTGGGATTAAGGTTTAGGGCACGTGAACCGAAGGCGGTGCCCTACTAATCTTGACCCCACGGAATAATAAGGGTCTCTGTTGCAAAGACCCCCAGAGAGAGAGCGAGAGAGAGTGCTGAAACCTTTCTTCGCAGCAATACCTGAAGGACGTTCAGGATTTATGATAATAGGCTGTAGGTTTTAAAGCCCTAACGCCCGCATGCCTAAACCCGAAACCCTAAATCCATAAACCCCACAGCCTCCGACACTGGGTCACAACCAATTGTAAGAATATGATGATTGCCAGGAAAATCATGGAGCTACTCCACAAAAGCCCTTTTAGGGATTAGGGGTTTGCATCTGGGCTTCAGAGTCCTGAACCACAAACCTACATAAACTCTAAGTCCCAGGCAAGCCCTAAACCCCAAACCCAAAGCCGCTGAACCCTAAACCTACACCTAAACTCCATGCCCTAAACTAAACTTCTTATCTTTGCAGCCCGGCGGTCGTGTCTGATCTCGAGGTGGTAGAGACAGTGTCAGTTGTGGAGGTGGTCGTCGAGCTACTAGAGGTCGACCTCTAGGGCTCCGGGCTTAGGGTCAGGGTGGGGACTTCAGAAAATCAAGAACGGGGTTCTCAGAACCGAGTAGCCCCCCCCCCATTTTCTGAAAGTCACATGCTTGGGAGTTTCAGAAACTCAGAACTCTAAGCATGTACTACTCCTATATCTGTCAGGGTCCTGGTCATAACTCACCCTTGTACCCCCAAAAGTACCAAGCTGCCACACTACTGTCCTAAACCTTTACCGTTGTATGAGGGGGTGCGTGGGGCCTGTCCTAAGCCTCAGAACCATGGATAGCCTCCCGGTTCGTACTGTCATCTATCCTTTGGTACGTTGGCTCAAGACCTTGCCCTCTGCTTCAATAACAAAGTCCCCAAAAGGCCAAGCTTGTCTATCTAGATTCCAGACCTTGTGTTCATACCGGTTGAGGAGTTGTGGTACTTCTACAAGCACGCAGCACGCATACTGCAAGAGTCTTGCAGCTCCCTCCCTGCCCAACCCCTCCAAAGAAACAGAAACAACGGCCGAGAGTCGTTGCGGTCGTTCCGGTCACACTCGTAGTGGTGTGTGTCTCGGAAGTAGATGTGGCAGACGTAGTGGTCGTGGAGCTGGATGCAGATGTCGACGTGGTAGACGACGTAGTGGTACTAGACGATGTGGCAGTTGTAGTACCTTCAGTTCATTCTTTCAACGAGTTGGTGGAGGATAGTCGCTCAAACTGTGCAGCGAAAAATCGCGAGTCCCTGATGACCACGAACCATGCTGTAATCTGGTGAAAACTCAGAGTTGCCTGATTACATACATTCTAAGCTCATATCCACCCTTGCAAAGCCTTTGTCTGCCTTCATCTTCAACCCTGAACCCTCTGGAAAACCTCATCAAAAACCGGAAACCACCTTGTCAAACCCTACGAATAAGAAACACGAACGAGGACACCGCAAGCCTAAAACTGCTTAGCCGGACAACCGTCCAACAAGCTGACAAAACAGTTCGACCCTCTCTGAGGTGCTTGATGTGCTGGATGTTGCTGACTGGGTAGTCGAGGATGTACCGGAGGTGGAGGAGCTGGTGAGTGTTGTGACCTGGGGTGTCCAGTTTCATTTCTACGGTTTCCGGATCAGGATCTTACAAGGTTCAATTGATTATGGGTAGTTCTCTAAATTAGGATCCCTTTTTAGGTCTCCCCAAAACAATACGACACCCTTGCAACAAGGACCCTCTGATAAAAGGGATCCTAACTTAGAGAACAACCCCATATGGTTTTGAAGGTCGAATTACACTTTATTCGGCGGTCCTTGCAGTAAAGAAGGATCCAGACACACGGGTGTAGATTGAAAGAGGCCAACGTGGAGGGCTTCGGCTTAGAGCTTCCACTAGCTGTTTGGGGAATCGTGACCAGGGTTAGCGTTCGGAAACCCAGAGGGGGCAGAAAAGAGCGCGAGAGAGAGAGAGAGAGATGCGGAGACACTATATGCACACCTGCAAGGCGTGCTACTGACAAGCAGAGAACGGCCGCTGTGTGTTGGGGGGGAGGGTGCAGTAATTTTGGAATGAAGGTTTTCCTGGGACAGGATTGGTCTTGACTTCTATGGCTCCTGAGCAGAAAGGCCGAAAATGCACCCTACCCCCGAAAACTTAAACCCCTAAACCCTAATGACGCAACATGACTCAAACTACAAAGGGATCCTCCATACGGGTTCCGGTATGCTGCGTAATTGAAGGATGGATCCAGCTCGGCTTGGGGCCGCGAGTTTCGAAGCAAGGGGTTAGGGTTTACGGTTTAGGGTTTAAGGTCTAGGGTTCTGGGATGTCAAGTCCGTGAATGGCAGTGTGCTGTAGATAAAAAGACGGCTGCAAAACCCTTACACCGTAGAGGAATCGCGGTTAAAGCGTGCGTAAACTACAGAACTACATGGATCAGAGGGCCCGTATGGTTTACTGTTATGTGTGTTCTTGGTATATTAAGGAACCCAAGAGAAAATATCATCCACTTGTCAAACCCCATTATGCAACAGAAACCTCCTTGTCGCTGCTTCCGAACGAGGAGAGGGACTAAAGAGCCTCCAGCAAAATGGGAGCAGGTCTGGTTCAATCCCTAAGGGTCCATGTACTCATATAGTATATACATAGGCCTTAATGCAGTCCCTATATAGGTACTTTGGGGCTCGTGCATCTCTATATGGCTACATGGACCCTTAGGGAATGAACGTCACAACCCTGTTATGGCCATTGCTGCAACTAAACCATGAGATATATTCTGTTGTCGGTGATGATGGCTATGATGCTTCATCATAAGGAATATTGCTCTTAGACTGCCCGCAGTTCCAAGGGTGAAGGGTTTCGGGGTTTAGGGCTTAGGGCTTAGGCTTAGGGTCTAATTAGCGTATTTACTGGGGACGTGACGGTGGAAGATGTCGAGGTGAGGGTGGTGCCTGGATTCCACAGAAGGTGCGCTTGCTACCCCTTTGGGTTAAGCATTATCTGGACCCTAAAAAGCCTACCTTGTGAGGGCTCGTTGCTATGATTTCTTTATATATAAAGCCCCTAGAAAGGTAGGTGTTACAAGGTCCAGGTAACCACTATGGGCTATTAGACCCTAAAGATCCCTATTAGGACCCTATTAAGGGTAGATTAAGGTACCCATAAGGTCTAATAGCCCATAGTGGTAATGTTTAAGGTTTAGGGTGTCCGGTCCCTCGCCTGGGATTTGCAGTCTTGAGGGTAGGACGGGAGGTTCCAAGTCTCACGCCGTGATTATCAAAACTCCCCTAATGGTCCATGTACCCAAAATGGTATGTAATTTGGGCCCAATGTCCCTACATATAGGGAGTCCTGTTAGAGCCAAAGTATATACTGTATTTGGGTACGGGCTTCAAGTTGCGACTCACAAGCCCTCGCTGCCAAACCCCCACCTTCACACGAAGCGTCTCTAAGAGGAGCTTTTTATGTGTGATTTATGTTACCCTACACCCCAAACCTTCAGCCCTAAACCCCAACCCTAATGTTTCTTCCATCTACTAACCCATGTGGCACGGATGCAGTCTTATTTCAAATAACAGCACCATAGTCGAGGAATCGCTGAATATTACTCGTAGTTTTGCAGCTTTGACCATGAGGTAGCATTGAAAGGGTCTCAAAATCTCTGGTATCTCAATGCTTAGGGATAAGGATGCGGTTTGGCGTTCCCGGTGCGTTGTTCCAAGATGAGGGCTGGTTGTTAGGGCCCAGAGGCCTCCACGAAAAGTCCTGAACACCAGCAAGGTAAGCCAGGCCAACATAAACTCAATGTCGGCGAGGGTTCATGAATTATTGGTGGATCCCCTAATCCTTGTCCTAAACCCCTGAACCCGAAATCCTGCTTCCTAAATCCTGTACACTCTGGATCCTTTCTGGGGTCTGGGAATACGAGGGTGGCCGGCCGCCTGTGATTGTCGTCGAAGACGCTGTCCTTGATGCAGGGCGAAGATCCACATGCAAGCATTAAGCTGGTACAACTCCCGGCTGCCTGCAACTGCAGTTGCAGCTGCTACTGCTACCGCTCCTACTACTTCTGCTGCTCCTGCTTCTACCGCTGCCACTGCTTCTGCTTCTGTTGCTGCGACGACGACGACCACGACGACAACGAATACGACTAGTCCTGCTACTAGTCCTACTAGTAGTCTACAGCAACAAGTACTACTTCTACTACTACTACCACCACAACCACCGCTGCCACCACCACCACGACCACTACCACTGTCACCAGTACCACCAAAACGCCGCCACCACCATCGCGACCACGACGACGACTACGACAGTTGCTACTACTGCTACCACGACTACTGCCGCAACGGCTGCTTCTACATGACAACTACTTTTTGCAACTGATAACTACTTCTGGCGAAAGTACCTGCCACACGAATTACTGATGACAAACGACTAGCTATGACTTGCTGACTACTAATCGAAAGAACACCACTTGCTACCTAATCACTACTGAGTACTGACTGCTCGCTACTAAGTATCAGAACTGCTGGACAGCAGCACACGAGTTAGGTGAATCTACTCCCAAAACAGACAGCGGGTGGCTCGGGTTGGGAGCACACATCCTGTTCTTGCGACTACAAAGATCACTACAGGACCGTTAGAAGAGCGAGACGCGAAACCGCTGTCTGAGCATGCCAAGTATCAGCGTAATGGTCACGGTTGTGGCGGTGGAGGAAGTCGACGTCCTGCAAGACACAGGGTCGCAGGCCAGGGTCCGACGTGAAGACTCGGCTGAAGGCCACTTTGGGTTTAGGGTGTTCGTATTCCGGGGGTTTGGGGTCTAGGGTCTAGGGTGTAAAGCCCTTGCTACAGAATCCGTCCACACCCCTGTACAGCAACATCGAGACTTCGTGGACACCTGCTGGTGCTCGAGGTCGTGCTGCTGCTGGAAAACGTCGTGGATGTTGACGACGTGGTAGAAGTGATTGTTGAGCTCACCGAGGTCGAGGTCGTAGATGAGACGGACGTAGTAGATGTCAAGGTCCTCCCATCGAGCAGAATTTCGAAGGTGGGACAGATCGTGAACTACACTCCGATCAACCACGAGTCTAGTTCAGAGTCAGACTGCAATTTTCAAGCCTGACCTGATCCAGAAATTTTCGTGCAACTGTCAAGATAAGTCATTCAGAGTCATATGCAGAGCCGAAACGAACGTGAATCTCTACGTTCGCCCGAACCAGCACCACAGTTATCAACTGTGGAAGGCTTCCCCGGCCTGGTTGTCGTTGTCGAGGCGGTGATGGTGCTCGATGTTGTTGACGTAGTGGATGAGGTAGATGTTGATGTTGAGGACGTTACAGTGGTTGAGGATGTGGTGGTGCTCGTTATCGTGGCTGAAGTGCTGCTCGTGACACTGGTGGACGATGATGTAGATGTTCTGGTCGATGTTGTAAGCGTTGACGTGGCAGATGTTGTTGACGAGGTCGACGTCGTCATGGAAGTTGACGTGATTGTTACGGTGGACTCGGTTCAGCATGAATGTTACTGCTAGTTTACAAACATCTCCTGGCCAGGCTTGTACTTGTTTCTACACGCGGCCAACAAAGCTAATACTGCCCTGCTCTCGTGCGAGCATGCTGAGTAAAATCGCTCGATGCATGAGTGTTCCTACTCTTGGCTGTTCTCCTAAACATGTTGGGTTAGCACATGACAAGCCTATACACTCGTCCAGGAAACTGTGCTTGTGGATGTGACAGTCGTGCTGGAGGTCGTCGTTGAAGATGACGATGTAACGGAGGTTGTGCTCACAGTGCTCGTCGTCGACGACGTCGTGCCACTCCTTAGCACGGTTTGGATGGAATTTTCTTCCGCCCTCAATTTGGTTCTGTACACAAAACTGTGATACTCATCAGTTGGGGTCTTTGATGGCGGAGCTGTGAGAATGCAGGGTTTGGGGTAGGCTGTGCGCTCAAGGCTCCAAGTCTATGCAAGCCCTGGTGCCAAATGGAGGTTCATCGTTAGTTGCAAACAGCTGCAAGCTGGTTTATAAGTAGGGTAACTATAGTCATAATTCACATTACATGGGCTTGAAACCCTGTTTAAAACTACCCATGAGCCTCTAAGCAAGGAGATGCTACATAACTAACGATCCGCATCTGCGAGAACGAGGCTCTTGAAGGGGCTCTCGACAAGAATCCCTACTTGAAGGCTCATGGGACTTAGTAAGTAAGGTTATAAGTAGGTTACAATTAGGTTAACCCCACTTAAGGGACTTATACCCCCAATTATAACCTACTTACTAAGTCCCATGATCCTCTAAGTGGGTTTAACCCTAAGGGTCCAAAGGACCCTGGAATTAGGTACTCGGGTTTCGGATAGTAGTTAGGTAGGTTAGCATTTGGAGTGTATATGATTATTAGGTACTTGGACCCTTAGGGTAACTACCATAAAAGCGCTAGCAATGAAACTCCGGATTTGTGGGAGGCCTTATGGTACAAGAAGATGAAGGCCCCTCAGTACTTCTTGGCTGTGGGGTGTATGTTAGAAGCTGCCCCCACCCTGTAATAGTGACTATAAGGATTATATTAATATTATATTAGGGCCCTATTATATTCCTATTATACCACTATTACAGGGTGGCGGCAGCTTCTATGGTGTATGATAGAACGCTTTCAATAATGAGCCCAAGAGGTCTGTAAACGGCAGATACGAGTTGAGCACCAGAAGCCGCGATCCGCCATTCACGATCAGGGCCGGTTCAAATTGTCGCCGACGGGTCCCGGATGATGACATGAGGCTTAATATAGGGGCCTTAATAATTAGACTAGGGCTTTGGGGCCCATTGTACTATGATTGTAATAAGGAACCCCCAAAATAGTATTGGTTATCATTTAGGGCCCTATAGTACAGCGTGGTCTCGGGATAACAACAGCAAAACGAGAGAGGATCGTAGCGAACATCACCTCACAATTGCGACTAACAATCTGAGTCATCCGAAGAGCCTTTTAAAGGCTATATCAGTCAATCACCGTGCAGTACCATGGGTTGAGGCAAGTGTCGTCGTCGATGTCGCAGACGACGATGTGGAAGTTAGTGAAGTGCTTGTTGTGGTTGTACTGCTTGAAGAGGTGGTGGAGATGGAGGTGCTCGTGGTGAGAGTCGAGGAGGTGCTGGATGTAGTTGCAGTGGTAGTTGTAGTCACGCTGGTGCTTGTGGTGGAGGTTGAGCTGGACGTCAAAGTGGTGCTCGACTGCCAGGGAAAACGCATCTCTACATATTGAGGTCCCAAATCCCTAAACCCTAAGCCTCTAAACCCCAAACACAAAGTTCCGGCCGGGCACCCTCCAACCCCAAAACTAAAGATTCGACTCAATCTATGCCTCGGGCTCCGAAAGACTTTTGATCCCAAAGTAAGTGCTGTTTGTCTACGTCCCCTTGTGTCCCCTTAATAATGAGGGTACCCTTTTTCTTCGATTCGGCTTGAAAAAAGTGACACCATGATAGTAAAAGTGACAGGATGCTACTGGGGACCCTAGTTAAATACCTGGAGCCCCAGGGTAAAGATAAACCCGGGAAATGCCCAGGGCTCTGAACTTCGTGCAGAACCCTTAACACTACCCGTAGGCTCCATAGTAGTTCCTTTCAGGGATTACTTTATATGATCCTAAATTATGAACCGCAAAAAGGAACTACAATTGAGCCTATGTGTGTAACTGGAACCGAAACCTCAGAGCGTTTCAGGCTCAGGGTTTGGAGTTTGGAGCTGTTGGTAAAATCGCGGTCTTCTTGGTTAGAGAAGGCCTTTGAGTGGGGCGTGGTGCTACAATTAGAGTAATGAGCTGTCAGGATTTATTTCCAAAGTATTCAGGCTTCTGTGCCGTTAAATTGTGTGCTGCTCTGCCTTCCTGCTGTTGATGCGACTTTGCTGCTTATTGTTGTCCGTTTTCTGACAGCTCATGCAGTTGCGCCATAGAAGCCAGAGGGACGAGTAGCACTACTCCATAGGCTCCCCTACTCTAACTACAAACATGGACACCATCGAACGGCCCTGGTGTAAATGGGCGATTGACAATATTCAGGGTACCCAAAAAAGGGACCATAAGTTTGACAACCACCCTATATTACTCAACACCAGCCCCCAGGCCAAATGTCGTCATCCTGCGGTGGTTTGTAGGTTTAGGGTCGATAATCGAGAAGCCCTAAAACCCAACACTAAACCCAATTAATAACTGATTACTCCAAACATTGCCGTGGTATATGGCTCCATGTAACTATTTAGTACGTACTTAGGCATTAAAGGGATCCCTGTATTACTTTAGTCTGCCGTGGATCGCAGTTTTGGGTGCAGACATAGTGTGCAATATAAGCTTCTTAATAGCGATACTTGCTTGAGAGTTTAGTGCAGCACCTAGGCCAAACGCGCAGTAACCTGAAGCCTAGATGTCGCACAATCACTGGACTGGACTAACTGAGCCTTTAACTGCAAAGATTTCACAGACCTTGCACGATTTGGGTTGAGGGTTCCGGGCTCCAAAACCTTGCGTCGGCAGAGGGACGGGGCATTCACGGGAGAAAATGTAGAGTTCAGAGTCATGTGTGTAGAGCAGAAACCACTTTCAGACGATGGATGCTTTGGCTATTCTGTTTTTATGCTTGGAGGTTCATGGGTCGTCATAAGCAGGGTAATTATACTTATAACCCATGTTAGGGGACCTATAACCCCACTTATAAGTACTCATGAACCTCCAAGTAACCATTTATAACAGTTGTAACCTATCATGTTCGCTGCTACCATAGTCCAATGTCCATTGTGATAACTATATCAATGTCAACCGGTACCCGCCCCCCTCGCCCCCGTAGAAGGACAGGTCACACTGACGGTGGAGGTGGCCGAGGTAGTCGTGGCTGTCACGGACGATGTCGAGGTGGAAGACTGCATCCAGACTTTTAAAAGCTTATCAAGGAATGCAAATTTGTGTTCTGGCATACCTATATCATACATATATAATTATATATACACACATACACATATGTATAGGTACATAACAATCCAATCCCTGAGTGCTATACCCCCACCAACCGTTGACCCTGAATCCTAAACAACACTGTGAGGGCTGGGTTTACGGGTTTAGGCACTGAAAGTTTGGCCTGTAGGATTTCGATTTGTAGGTTTCACGATGAACGCATGGCCTACGGTGTTGAGACTTTCAGAACGTTTTGAACACAAAAACCCCCAGACCGTAGCGCATGAAGGCTTAACGAGTAGGGTGCCCGGCTCCACGCAGAATCCTCCGACTTTTGGGCGATACTGTTGATGACATAAGTCGTGCATTACCTTAAGGAACCTAAGCTGTGGGAATTATGGCATAATCCTTATTATGCGTAATGCAGGATTTATATCATCAACCGTAGGGTGTAGGGTTTGCGGATTTGGGCTCCAGGAGTAACTTCAGAGTTTCGGGTTTAGGGATTTAGGGTGTAGGGTTTCAGGGGATGTAGGCTTCAGGGCTTCGGGGCTTCGGGCTTCGGGGCCGTCTTCGAGGTTTCGGATGTTTTGGGTTAGGTGCAAAACCTGTAGAAAAGCTTTAAAGCAGCAGCCTCTCCTTCAACAGGCTTTGTTGTTGAGCTCCTTTTTACGACTGCGGGGCTGTCCTACTATCGCAAGGCCGGAATGGCTTCAGCAGGCTTTTATATGGCTCAGGGTTTAGGGAAAGATCATGCTGATACTTAACCTTGGACACTTCGGGTAGAACCCCGAGATATCCCAGAACCCCTCGCACTGCCTTCAACACCCCGAAGCCCGACCCCAGAAACCCCTCATAATCCGGCAGAGCCCACCCTGAGCCCAGAATCCCCAAACTCTCATCAACCTTCGTACTTGAAGGCTCATGGGACTTACTAAGTAAGGTTATAAGTAGGGTATAATTGGGATAACCCCACTTAGGGGACTTATAACCCCAATTATAACCTACTTATTAAGTCCCATGATCCTCTAAGTAACACCCTGTCCCAGAAGGTCCAACCCAAATAGTACGGTTTTTAGGTCCCAATAATTCATACTCTGAATGGTCTTGGGATCTTGAACCTCCCTACTATTTGGGTACTTGGACCTTTAGGGTATGCAAATAGCCCGTATTAAGAGCCCCATATATCGGAATATAAACGCTAGAGAACCCCCCAGCCGAGAAGCTGTAGAGGAGACGGTGATCGATGTCGCTGTTGACGAGGTCTCCGAGACGGTCACCGTGTAGCTGGTGCTGGTGTCCTGACGGCACAACTCATATAGCATACTTCTACCAAGGAGCGCGAAGGAATAGTACCACGACTAAAATTCCTCAGGGCCCCATCGTGAAGTTTTACTAATATGTCCCAACACCCTGCTCTACTTATTAAGGTGTCTCCTGCAGCGTAGCTTCTGTTTCGCAGGTTACGTAAGCAGGGACATTAGCCGAAACAGCCCTCAGGCGTTCTAGGGACTAAGCCACCTTCGGCTCCTTCATTTTCAATAGAGGCAGCTGTATGAATTAGGATCCCCTTTGGGTACTCCTTATAGCTTAATGACTTACTGCGTACCACTCTCTTCAGGACCCGACAAGCAATGATGATCAACGGGACTGATTTTTACAAACCTTAATGATGAGCACCAGTGTTAGGATATATAATCATTTGGGTGAGCAATCATTTCTACTAAGTCTACTAAGGAACCTCGAGGAATAGCACCGTTAGTTACCCAGGATGTCTATATTACGATCTTTTCCGAGCTGCTGTCACCGATATGCTGGTACTTGTAGTGGACGACGTGGATGTCGCCGTTCCGCCTCGCGTGGCAGAAACGTGAAGGAATGCCTCAACAGCAGCACTGCGTCGATGTCGCTAATCCCTGAACCCTCGTCAACCCTCATAAAACCTCGCAGCCCAGTAAACATGCTGCGCACAACCTCGCTCCAGTACCTCCAAAACCTAGAATCCCAGAAGTATGATTTTCCTAGCCACATCCGGCACAGAACGGTTATGAGGCCCTAGGGTTCAGGATTTAACCCGATAACTTCCGCCCTGAAACCTCAATGTTATGCACAACTGGCCCCCGAGTCCAGCTCCCAGAACTGAAACACTGCACCCTCAAAGCATTTCTCTCTGAGTTTTGGTGGGGCTTATGCTTCATAGAACCTCGTCGCGAGATACTGTGTAGAACTTCGTAGTGAACACAAAGGCACATGATGCTTCTGATTGTCGAAGGTCCTTTTTCTGAGTCTTTACCTCCTGAGTCGTCCAGAGCTGAGATTGCTTACGAATGCAAAAGAACTAACACCCGGAAGAAAAGACACTAGTTCATAAATGCTCGCTCCAAAACCTTACAGGTCTAAGCCCTACCCTCAAACGCGAAACCTCCACGATTCTGCACAGCACGACTCTCGCTGCTGCTTCGGCACTTGCAGTCGTCGTGCTGCTGGCTGTCGCTGAACTGGACGTGGTGCTGCTGGCAGACACGGTGCCTTCGTTTTGTCTATACTGAACTTAGAACCCTGACAAAAATTATAATTTTAGCTGTTTCTTAGGGATTATAATAACCAAAGATTAAAATTATTTCTAAGTAATTACCCCTAAGTTGTATTGTTTCACACTCACGGAGCTGTCAACCGTTGCGGTGGCCTGTTGGGTTGATGCGGTTATGTGGTCTGAAGGGTTTGGGGCCTGCCGTGTGTTAAGTATTTTGACTCTTCAACAAGGCACCACGCTTGTCTTGCAGCATCGAACCCCTAAACCCTAAACCCTAACCCCTAAACCCTAAACCCGCCTGTATTGCCTAAAGAACTACCAAAGCCTAGACTCTGAGCCCCAGACATCCTCTAAATCCCGGAGCCCTAGCCTTCATATGGGAGTTTCCGAAAATTAGGGGTACCTTATTTGGGGGTCCTTATAATAAGGATCCTACTATTTAGGGTACTATATTAGGGTTCCCTATTGTCGGAAACTCCCATATTGACTTCTAAACCCTAAAGCGTAAAGAACCGTAACCCTACATTCCGCTTCATCCATGGAGCCAGGCAACACTAAGGTCCTGTTTAGGGCTTTGGGTTTAGGGTGTACGGGTTTAGGGGTTTAGGGTTTACCTAAGCCCCCAAAGCTAGGCAACATAATCGCCCAACACCTTAAAAGGCCATTATTGTGGAGGGTTTCGGGTACATTCCAATCCAGGAGGCTCGAAGCGCTACAAGTAAAAGGAGATGGAAAGCCAAAGAACTTCTGTATCGGTACATGGGCCCTACAAGACCCTACAGAAACATCATACGCCGCGAAGCCCGAAGCCTAAACCACTGGGTCCTAGGCTGGGTGCCGGGGACCCTCAAAAATGACGACCCAAGCGACTGCTGGTCGAAACGCTAGTCGTGGAGCTTCCGGTGACCTTGGCGAAGAGAGGAAGCCGAGACTTGAGGGTTACATGGAGGTTCATGGGTAGTTATAAGTGTGGTTATAAGGGTTTAGGGTTCCTTGTAAGGGTTCTGTAGGGTTTAGGGCCTAGGGTAGTTATAAGTGGTGCCATGAGTCCCCCTAAAAGGGCTTTAACCATATTTACCCTACTTATGACCCTACTTATAACTACCCATGAACCTCCAAGTGCTGAACCAAGAGCCCATGTACCATGGTACTGTATCCTTTGCTCCCTAAAGAATTACCCAGAGGGTCCAAGTACTCCCTATTATAGGACTTTAGGGCCGTTTTAGGTACCAAAAACCATAAATAGGGACTACTTGGACCCTTAGGGTTATCTTTGAGGGGACTGCTTTAAGGCCTGAACCCTGAACCCTGAAGCCCCAGGCCCAAGGGAGACGTCTAGTTCCATAAGCTCAAAACCTCTACTTGGAGGCTCATGGGTAGTTATAAGTAGGGTAACTATACTTATAAGCCAGACTACGGGACTTATAACACCACTTATAACTACCCTAGGCCCTAAACCCTACAGAACCCTTACAAGGAACCCTAAACCCTTATAACCACACTTATAACTACCCATGAACCTCCAAGTAAGCGGCCGGCATGGTATAGAAAGACTATCGCTCTTAGCAACCTTGGCTGTTCGTAGAGGCATCAGTATGACATATACCAAACCCTAGTCCCTAAACCCTATACCCTAGACCCTAAACTCTAAGCCCCGGCTTGGCCTGAAATTTCATCGTGGCGTAGTTCGCCAGCCGGATGAAGTCGATCGAAGCATTGTCTCGGTTCACCCTAGCCTCTTCGATGCACCACTGAAGATATGAGTCCGGAATCTCCCTGCAGAGTTTCCCGCGATGGCGGCCGAACGGACAAATTGTCGAGCCTGTTCTCAGCCGACTGAGCCAACTGCCTATACTGGGCAAATACGATGCGGCACAGTTGACCCATGAAGTCCGCATAGTCATCATTCGATTTGGCACCGAAGTTAGTCATTTGCTGCTGGTGTAGATTCATGATGGCGGTTCGGAATTTCTTCGGCGGCAACATCGTATTGGGGGCTACCACTGCGAACCGCTTGAAAAGCGGTGCCAGATGGGCCAGCCACGGGAGGTCGACGGTCGTGCTCCAAGAGGACATTTTAGGCACTGCAAGCCCTAAACTCTAAACCCTAAGCTCTACACACTTCTGCATCCTAAAAGCCTTCGTCCTTCGTCCTGAAGCCTACACACTAAAAGGATCCTCTAAGTACAGTGGAAGCCCAGAAGTTGGACCCAATAGTTTAGGGTTCCTTTAAAGGGATCCTTTAAGGGCTCCTTAGAGGGATCCATAAGGGTTCTATAAAGGGTTTAGGGTTTAGGTCTTCAGTAGAAGCCACAAAGTTGGAAACCCAATAGCCTCAATCCCTAAGAGTACAGTACAGTGAATCCCAGCACTAGTTGTCCTGAATCCGGTTTCCAACTTTATGGGGTGTACTGTATCCGTAGAGAGAAAAGTTGAAAGTCGCCGTATAGAGGCCCTAAGAAACCCAGAACCCCAAAACCATCTTTGCCCTTACAGGTCCACGATATGCCAGGAACCCGAAACCGATACTTATTCCTTGTAGACCCCCTATAAACCTTAAACTTATCTCTGAACCTACTTCTATGGGGCGCTGAGGGGCGGAAGTCGACGTTGCAGAGGTTGAGCTCCTTGGCTCCAACTTTTGAGCTTCTACTTTAGGTCCGGCTTACGATTTGGGCAGTTGCTCAATTGCGTCCCTTGTTTTGGTCCCCAACGTAGTACGGCACCCATACAAAAAGCACCTTACAAGCGACCCCACCTTAGACAACTACCCACTTCGAGCTCAGGATTTCCGAATGCTTTTGGAACAAATTGGGGCCTAGGCTGGGCTCAGGGTTTACAGCTGGGGTTTGCACTAGAAGGATGAGGCTCGAGCGGTTTGGGAGTTAGGATTTAGCGGTTTGTAAGGCTTAAGACTAGGGGGATTTGGGGTTTGCAGTGCAGGGCTACACTCTCCAAAGTAGCTCCTTTTCGGCGGGGTTTCTTCCTCCTCGCAGAGTCAGAATGCGATGCCGGATGGGACTTCTTAAGTCAAACCTCAATTGATGTCCTGGCAAGATGCATGTTCTGTTGAGGGGGGTTGAAGGTTTAAGTTCCACTGTTTATGGTTCTAAGAGACCCAGCAGCCAAAGAGCGCAAGTAGCGTTGAGAGCGGTCAAGTATGGGCTTTAGCTTTGGGGTGCTGGGTGGGTTAACACCTTCTGCAGATGAATGAGGCTGGGTTTAGGATCCAAGGAACAAAGAAAACTGCAACATTGGCGGTTTGACTTATCTTTCAATCGCCTTGCGGCACACACTTTGGCTGCCGATTCTGGCTGGATGCAATGTGGCACATTGCCGCAGCGGTTGAGGGTCCAAGTGGTACTGTGAGTAGCTACGTCCATTGCCAGTCGCTGAACCGTAACAGTTGACATCATGCGAACCGACAAGGGCTTCGTCATTCTTCATAGGTACCCTTAGGGGGGTAGGGGACTAAATTTCCTCAAATAGGCCTTATCACCTCCTCATTGAAGGTATTAAGTGTTAACGCCCCCTACCCCCCCCCCCCCTACCCCCCCTTCCCCCCAAAGGGTCCCTATGAGACAAGGACTTTGTCATTTCTGGTCGAATCGGTGTGTAAGCTGCAGGATCGGCCTGGAGTTCCCATCTGCTCTCACGAAGCGCTACAAGCCTACTTGGTGATTCATGGATAGTTATAAGTGGGGTTATAAGTCCCGTAATCTGGGTTATAAGTATAGTTACCCTACTTTATCCGACCCTAAATCTCGAGCCACGCGGCCAATCTCATCAACCGAAAAGCATCCTACTGAGCCGACAGCCTGAAACCGACACCCTGAGCAACTAGCCCCAAGCCCCTCCGCCTGAAGCGTCGGCCACTCCACCCAAATATTCCAAAAACATACACCCTACATTCCAGCGGCGCCAGAACCATAATGAATACATGTGTGAACCAACCCCAACGAGTTTAGTAAAAATGAAAATATAAAATCGAAGAACACTAAAGCAAAACATGCCATCATGTCAGGCCAGGGTTCGTGGAGGATCTGGTGATGCTTGTGGTTGAAGTCGATGAAATGGACAAGCTCGTTGTCGTCCTTGTCATGTCAGGTTAGGAGCTTCCTTTCAGTGCATAAAGCGGTGGTGGTGATGGTGGTGGTGGTGGTGGCGGTGCAGTGGCGGTGGTGGTGCTGGTGGTGGTGGTGGTCCTGGTGCTGGTGGTCCTGGTGCTGGTGCTGGCGGTGGTGGGGTTGATGGTACTGCTGCTGCTGGTAGTGGTGATGGTGTTGGCTGTGCTGGGGCTTAATGAACGTACATATGGCCCGATGCCTCATCCTCGAAACCGTCACAGAAAGCAAGGACTCGAAAACCAGACACGCCCCTGGTATCCCGTACCTATAGTCTCCATTGTAGTTCCTTTTTGTGGCTTAACCAATTGTATATTAAGGATCCTATAAGGTAACCCCCAAAAGGAACTACAATGGAGACTATAGGTATAGAGCCCTTGTAGCCAGCAAGCCCTGAGCACCCGGAACCCTGATAGACCTCTGGTAACAGCCCTAAAGGGAACTCCAGAAAGTTGGAATATGGATTAATGGTAGGATACCCTATAACTTACCTTAAAGGGGTTACGATAATCATATTCCAACTTTCTGGCTTTTACTTTAATACTTGTTGCTCTCCCTTACAGTCCGGATGTCTACAGCACACTTTCGAAACCCTACATTGGAAGTTGCAAAACCAGATAACCCCACAAACCTATCGCCATGGAGCATCCACCTTCAACAGAGACCTACACCACGGAGCCACCTCAGAATCCGTAATGCTCGAGACCTCAAGCGCCTGTACAACCCTCACGCTTTGGAAAAAGAAAGCCGATGCATTGCCCTTAACCTAGTTCATGGTTGGGATAGGATTAAAAATGTACATTTTCATTCCTTATTATTGGGTTAAGTACCCAGAAAATGTAAAATGCTACCCAACTATGACAAAGAAACATCCCTTAACCTTTAGGGCCCAGGGGTTGCCGATTCATTGCCCTTGTAACATCCCTTGCCCTGGACCCTCTGATGCTTGCCTTGATGTTGAGGATATCGAGATGCCTGGCTGAAGGGGGTCAGGTCTTGGGACAAGGTGAAGGCTTAGGGAATGAGGGAATCCTTGCATGGAATGCAGTGTTTCCGGGAACAGGCTTGGAACTAGAACTTGAGTGCAGGAACTTGGGTGTTGGCTTGTGAGGGTATTGAGTTGGGTCAGCTGTGGTGAAGCCTTCAGTTCATTCCGACGCGCTCTAGACGAGTCCTGGAGCTTTCGGGAACAAGAGTTTGCGACTAGGACTACGACTAGGCCTCTCAGGAAAAAATCCTCGACTGCTACGACTACAACTTCTAATTGCACTGCTTCTCCTGTTTGGTGACTAGCGCTCTCAGTGTCAGATTGCTTGCATTTCAAGGTGTGCATGCAACAGTTACCCGGCCAAAGCTCGGTTTCATACTCCCTAAGGGTCCATGTACATAAATAGTATATACATTGGCCTTAAAGTACTCCCTATTTGGGTACATTGGGCCCAAAGTATATACTATTTGGGTACATGGACCCTTAAGTTATAAGGACTTACCATTGCTGCATGCTTGTTTTCAAAAGGCGGCCGGCATTCAATCAAGTCACCCATTGTCACGACGCAAAAATTGTGGAGAATGTGATTGTGCAGAACAACGGCATGCCTGCTCGTAGATCTTGCTGCGGCTTGGGGCTAGCATTCTCAAAACAACGCACCTAAAGGCCACACCTTACTAAACACCAACCATACACCCTAAACCCGAAACCCTGCCCCACCAACCATTCCACCATACTCCATGGTCGGAACTATCAGGATGAACAAAGCGGGTGGCCCACGACGGGGCGCTCGGAGCCAAACCTACTTAGAGGATCATGGGACTTAGTAAGTAGGTTATAATTGGGGTTATAAGTCCCCTAAGTGGGGTTATCCTAACTATAACCTACTTATAACCTTACTTACTAAGTCCCATGAGCCTTCAAGTACGAGGTGGAAATATCGTTGAGGGGTTTAGGAGTCGACGGCTCGGCGCTACCCCTGTTGATTATATATATATATATATATATATATATATATATATATAAATATCCTGCATTACCTTAAGGACCCTAAACTATGAGATTCATGGTATATTCCTTATTATGGGTAATGCAGGATTTATATCATCAACCGTATGAACAATCCAAACCAGCCCTCATGGAAGCCTTGTACAAGCCTGTTGATACAAAGCTTCTAATACCCAAACCCGAAGCCACTTTCAATCGCGCCCGAGCGGCTTGTGGTGGTGAGTGTTGTCGTTGAGCTGCGGGTTTGGGTCCTGCATGCCGTCTGGACCCTGAATGACCAAGCAGGGTGTGGGGTTCAGAGCCCCCATTGCGGGTGAGGGTGTGAGCTTCGGCCTTGCAGTGTTGAAAAATGTCTCTACAAGCCGTTACAGCATCTCAAGATGCTGACGGGAAGTCGGGTTGTGTCTTAAACCCTAAACCCTAAACCCCCCAACTGAAGTATTCTGCAGCTACAGCGCTGCAGTCGACCTGGGTTTCGGGTTCGGGCTTTGGGGCTATCGCTCTCGGGTATGGGGGGAAGAGCAACTACTGGCGGTGTTTGCATTAAGGAACTTAAGTTAAGTTACCATAAAAAACCAGAATATTTTTTTACGATACCTATTAACTTAAATTGAATTCTTTAACAAGAACCCAGACCGGCGGGTGTTCGTGTTCGCGTATGTTGCCAGACATGTCCCTTCGGTGCCAGCGAGGCTCGCGTTTCGGGTCAGGACTATAGCGGCCTGAGGAATCAATTGGGGTGTAGGGGTTTGGGTTTAGGGCCTAGGGTTTTGTGCACAGATAATATCAGAAACTTGGGATAATACCTATGTTCCCCTCACTCACCGGCGGCTGTCCCAGTGGTCGAGCTCGTCGTGTGCGTGTTGGAGCTGCTGGAGCTGCTGATCGATGTCGACTGGGTTTAGGGTTTAGGGCTTCAACTCAACCAGAAAGCAAACAAGTTCTATAGGGGCGTTAATAATTAGAATAGGGTGTTGGGGTCCATGATACTATAAATATCATAATAAATGAGCCGCAAAAATAGAATAGGTAATTATTAAGGCTCCATTATTACAAACCTTAATCTCATAGTTCCTTTAAGAATCAGGTACGTACCAAGGAAACGTTGAAAGCATACTCCAGAAGCCAGCAGACTCAGTGAGAGAGAGGTTAGTAGACCGAGACTCACAATAGTCAAGAGCCCGAAACTCTAAAACCTAAACCCCCAAACCTGCTAAAGAACACCTTCAAAACCCTAAACTGAACCATCAATCCCCTAAACCCCTAAACTGAACCATGAATCCCGTAAATCCCCTAAACTGAACCATAAATCCCCTAAATCCCCTAAACTGAACCATAAATCCCCTAAACCCCTAGACTCTTAGACCTTAAACCCCCTAAATCCTAAAATCCTAAACCCAGGCCCTGAAACCAAACCTACCACACCCGGGATCTGACCCTCTACCCACCCCCCCCCTCGTCTCTAACCTGTCCTACTTGGAGGTTCAGAGGGAGTTATAAGGGTTCCTTTAAGGGTCCCCCGAAATAAGGGCTCTATAGGGATTCTATAAGGGTATAGGATTTAGGCCTACTTGGAGGTTCAGGGGGAGTAATAAATGGGCTTAGAAGTCCCCCAATATGGGTTATAAGTATGGTTACCCTACATATAACCCTACTTATAACAACCCATGAACCTCCAAGTAACCTGTCCTGTCATCGGCCCTAAACCCTAAACCCTAAACCATAAACCCTAAACCCTAAACCCTAAAGCCCCGAAGAACTCCCAAGGGTCCAAGTACCTAATGATCATATACTTTCCAAACTACTAACCTACATACCTACTATCTTAAAGCCGAGTACCGAATCTAGGATGCCCAGTAACCTTGGAATCCCTTTGTAGTATTGGGTACCTCTATAAGGAACCTTTGACTACAAAAAAGGAATAAGGGTAGTACTGGGCATCCCTTTTAATTATTGGTTCTTTTGGACCCTGCGGGAACTCTAGGCTTGGGCCTGCACTACCTGGGACGCAGAGGCCTACAGATAGGAATTAGGGCTTCGGATTTCGCGTTTCTGGTCTACGATTTTGGGGTTTAGGATTGAGGTTTAGGGTTTAGGATTGGGGGTTTAAGGATTGGGGCGTTTAATTTAAGGGGTAGGCTGACACACAACTGGTCGATACCTTAATTGTAGCAGCACAGCTTGATCATCCTCTGCCCTCATACCCAAGGGGGCGTTCTCCAGACCTCATGCAGCCTGGTGAACGATTCTCTTGTGCTAACCCATAGGGACCCGGAGGGTGGTTTAGGGGAGGGGGGGTGACTTTGCTTCCTTAAATAAGCCTTACGAGGTCCTTATTATGGGCATTAAGGCCCCCTTACCCCCCCTCCCCTAAGGGTCCCTATGACTAACCCCCGGTTAGGAGGTCTGGGGTTGATACTGTAATGCTTGCCACATGTTTTGGGGTTCTTTTGATGAGTTCTATATTGAGGTCCTCAGTCACACTTATGTTTCTTGTCGGGTATACTTATGCAGGGCCACGCAAAAGCATAAGTATCCCAAGCAGTGCACCAGTTCTCCCTGAATGTCTACGGAGTCATGCAGGGGCTGCCTTGTGTTGGGATCCTTGCTTGTGAAGACTGTCCCTACACCCTGAGCCTCAGAGTTTCGGGCTGAATCTAGGGGCCTTAATCATTACAATAAGGTTTTCGAGGTATATACTATACTCTAATTTTAGTAAGCAGCTCCTAAAATAGTATTGGTAATTAAAAAGGCCCGTGATTCATACGGCATAGCTCCTGAGCTGTTTGGTGCCAACCAAAGAAAGCCCAATGAAGACAGACTCAACCCATGTGGCAACAACCGGGACTGAAGACTTAGAGTTGAGGCTTTAATTTGGCTCTTGTGGCTTGGGATAAATGTAGAGTTTATGGCTTAATTCAGGTTTTTGGGATTGAAGGCTTAGGGTCAAATTAGAGCTTTAGAGTCTTGGATTGTAGGGTTTGGGTCTTTACTAGGGCAGTGTTGTTGCGGGCTTCATTCGTGTTTTAGACCGGGCAAGGTAAACTTTATAACTTACATCCCTACACCTCAATGCCTTATTGTAGCCATGCCACTGTAGCCGTCATCGAGGTCACTGTCAGCGTTGTCGTGAGTGGCGAACATGAGCCTTGGTAAGTTTTGAGTTTAGTTGGTTAGAGTGGAGGATTAGGGGTTTAGGGTTTACCATATTTAGTATTACAATGAGCGAGTTCCTGGCGCTGAGCATCGGGGGCGGTTGGAGTTTCGCGCCCACCGGTTACGACGAAGAGCTTGCCATATAGGTTCGATGCTTCTAATTGACTCAAGGCTTGCATTCTATGGGACACCCTTGGGGCCCTAATCGCTACACCCCTTACCTAAAACTCCAACGATGAACCCTCAACCCGAAACCATAGACACCAAAGCTCCGAAAGAGGATTCGCCTGAATCGAAATGCAACCAACATACTAGGTTTGTCTTCATCAAATAGTGATCCCAGTTACCTAAAAGATGATTGCAATATTGACAGTTGTCGTAGATTGTAGGGCCCCAAAACGAACACATAAGCCAAAACAATGATAGGCATATCCCATATTAAACCCCCTCATAATGAAGCCCATTAAGGTAGGGGTATCCCCATAACATGCTTATGCTTATGTGGGTAGTTGTCAAAGTTAGTGTCCCTTTTGGGTCCTCATTATAATACGGCACCTAATATTCAGGGTACCCAAAAAGGGACCATAATTTTGACAACCGCCCATGTGCTATTTGGGTCTCTAAGATTGGGGGCCTTGAAGCTTTCCAGTGGTGCGGCCATGGGCTCCAGAAGCTCTGAGAAAACAGAACCCGTTAGGGTTTCAAGGACTGTTACTGTTGAATTGGGGTTTTAGGGTTTCGGAGACTCATACTTTTTGAATTGTGGAAGGACAGATAGTATTGAAATGGGTTTTTAGGGTTTCAAAGATTGATACTGTTGAAATGTGGTTTTAGGG